CACGGACAATTCTCTCGTCTGCGAATCTCTTCTCGACAAAGATCCAGACCTATTAGGGTATTTGGTTTTAAATGAACAAGCAAATACACATAACTGTTCTGAAATGATTCATCACTTGTGGTGTAAAATTATATCAGAAGATATATTTTTCTGTGAACTAAAAAAGAGTTATGGAGCCTTCACAATGTGTAGGTGATGGTTAGGTCTCTTATCCATGATGTCATATAAGAGTTGTTGTTATTTTACATTGTTATATATTTTATTCATTGTTGTTATATTTTACATTATTAGGTAACGTATGTAAGAGCGGAGGATCCATGACTGCCTGCAGTTATAAATTCAAGTTCTATGTCAAATAACAAGCAGTGAATCGCATTTAAACTAAATATAACTCCATCAAAAATATTTTGAATTTATGCAAACTTTTCAGAAAATTTGTACTTGATTAACCTAATTCGTGGAGTTTAGAAAGCTTACATTTCCTTTAGGTTTCGCATATTTAATTTCAGTGCGGTTTGTAATTTGCGGCAGGTGCGGCGTGGATGGATCTGTAGGTTGCGTGACATTAGCGAGCACGATCGTATTTATTGTGCATGTGCGGCACTCTAGAGATAGCCAAACACAAATATGCTCAGCGGTCGTCAGTCTTCGTTACGGCAATGCAGCTCCTAGCGAGAGAAACTCCCGTCGCATTCGTTATTTGTGTAGCCCGTGTCTATGCACCGTGCAAGAAATTAATGTATAAATTCAACAGGAAAATGTGTAGTTCCAAATCAATATCTAGTGAGTCTGTTGTAAAACAATCTAATGGCATCTTTTCAAAAATAGCTTATTTGCAATAAACTTCTCTCTTACTTCTAACTAAACTTTTTTCACGCAAATAACTCGACGAATTTAACCGGAGATCTTCCAAAGCGGTCATTTACCACGGCGAAGACAGCATGCGATCGCTTTAACTTATTACATCAAGGGTTCACTATCATGGCCTGCCTCAAGGCATGCATGCTGCGACCACGATTAATTAGAGACGAGCAGATGAGCCCCAGGCTGGAGGTTTTTGTCACCAGGTACCGTTAGCCTATCTTTGTATCCATCAGCTGCGGCTGCTGCAGCTCCAAAAACCGGTCTGATTTCGATTATGGCATCCGGATTAACCCCGTATGATAGCTAGCTTGCTGGCTACCAAACTAATTGGTTTATTAAAACTGTTAAAGTGGCCAAACAATAATCAGTTAATAAGCTCGTCTCAGATACTCGCCTCCGTCGAGGTCGTTACTGGAAGCCAGTTATGTTCTCTGCTTTAATAAAGGTTCGTGTAATTTTCTTGTTAATAACAAGCTTGCAGGAGTTAGTGATCTATATATGTCACTCACTCTTCCGACCAGCCAAATATTTTGGACTTCCCACTTCTATTAACTTTTGCTATGTTATGAGCTTAGAAAGATGCACGATCCATTGCGTGACACATACTCTATGTCCTTATAAACTTTATATTATCGCTGGTTTTGTCTTACAATTTGCTTGAAGCGATTCACCAAAATAAAATTATTAATGAAAGTTGACGAAAATGATCTTGTAGATTTGTTAAATCTTAGGAGCTTTCAGCTTGGGCAGCCACCCTCGTGATATCGTCGAAGCTCGGAGTATGAACGCTTTCAAGAACAGACTTGATAAAGCTATGGAGAAATATATATGTTCAGACTTGAAATGCCTAGCACCCTACAGACATGGTAGGACTCGAGTAGAGATCTCAAACCAATTTCAGTTTTGAAAGATCCAGTCAAAGGACCTAATTTTAAATCTCCTGTAAACAAATCAGAAAAGTACAAGAATCGGCGACAGGAGAAACCAGGCATATTCTTAAGCGCCGTCATCACTTTGATATAATATGATATGATATGGTATGATATGATATGATATGATGTGATATGATATGATATGATATGATGTGATATGATATGATATGATATGATATGATATGATATGATATGATATGATATGATATGAAATGATATGATATGATATGATATGATATGATATGATATGATATGATATGATATGATATGATATGATATGATATGATATGATATGATACGGTATGACATGATATGATATGATATGATATGATATGACATGATATGATATGATATGACATGATATGATATGATATGATATGATATGATATGACATGACATGATATGATATGACATGATATGATATGATATTTAGCTGCGAAGTACTGCCCTGAAGTGGCTGTGTTCCTTGTGATGTCACAGGAACATGATGAGAATTTTGCTCCTCGCTCGGTCTGCGTGTTAGAAACTTAGCGTGAAAGCTGTTTCTTTCTACAGTAAATGCCAGTGAAAATAAACGCACCCACGTTTCAATCGGTGATCATTGAGATAGATCGTCATCGACTGCTGTTTGCCATTGGTCTGTCGGACTCCTTGTAGAGCCGCGCGGATGCCAATTTCTTGTGGATGCCAGCCTCCTCCAGTCGTAAATTTGCGCTGCGGCTGACAACTGTAAAAAATGAATCAGTGTCCCCAAGATTGTCGGTCTGAGTGGAGTTATCGGCATAAACAATGGATTGAAACCTGCATTCAGAGAAAAATTTATAATAATTATCATAGAAGTAATGATTGCGAGACGGAGTTTAAACTTAAAAATAATACTACATGGGATTTCATTTCTGACTCTGGTGAAAGCCCGTCGCTGTTTGATCCATTGTTTGCTCATGATCCAAACAGGTTCACGCTTTTACAATTACCTTCGTTTCTTTTAGGCTATTGGTAGGCACTGACTTTCTTCTTATGAGAATTGCTGAAATAATGGAGGCTTCGTATATTGTTCGCTGGATTTTCCCGAGGGCTTTGTTTTGACGCTGCTTACAATCACCATTTGCGGTGCAGCGATCGCGATCACGATTTTGCAGTGCGTTCATAGCCTAGACGTCGAAGCTTTGCAAACAGACGCACTCCTAGAGTTCATAGCCTAGACGTCGAAGCTTTGCAAACAGACGCACTCCTAGAGTTCATAGTCTATTTGCAGACTGCTGCAAACACACGCACACGCACGTGTCAACAGACGAATTTCAAAGTCAAATTATTGGCGAAGGTACGTTGATAATAAATAGACGATCTTCGTATGCTGACTCGAAGCTGTGTTTACTGCAATTCAATCATTAAAACGGGAACTGACATAACTCAACTTTAGTGTAAGTTTAAATCATGACATCAATTTTAAATCGAATGTAACCTATTAGAATCGAAAATAAATCCTTAACAAAACGGCAGAGGCTCGGACTAATAAATACGATTTAATATGGCTCGGTTAAAAATCGTGGCAAACAAGCACAACGAATCATGCTCGGTGCCTTCAATGCTGCCTAGATACCAATCCTACATCCGCTACAGCTTCCCGGTCAAGCGGACTCATTGTATCCATGATTTCCTGTAACTATTGTTATAGTATTTGTTTTGAATCAATAGAGTCATGAACATTTCTCTAATATTTCAATATAAGGACAGTTTAATTCATGATTCCATGTGTAATATTTACTGCACAGTTCATTATTTAATGTTCAACATTAACATGCTAAGTATTTGCATATTAAAAACACTTGCTGAAAGGTTGCGTTTCAATAAACTCAATATGTTATGCATAATTTTTTTATGTAGGAACAGTTTAATTCATAATATTTGTGTAATTTTTCCCCTGTTCATTAAATATTTTTAAACATTATTGATTCAGCAGTTTTAATATACAATACACCTATGAACTGGAGCCGTGCAAAAGTTCATTCGTTTTTTTTTTGTTCTTCACTGAGCGGGAGAAAAAATAGTTCTAGGATTGAACCTGACAAGCCTGAGTTTGCCGGGTCATAGACCTTCATGAGTAACATCTGCCGTGGCTGCCATTCATAACTCCTCATATTTAATTAAGTGTGCAGGCCCCATTGCTTCCTTACCTAATTACATGTATACTTTCCTATTAAAATGAAATTTTTGAATCCGAAATGCATACGTATTAGATATCGCCCGAGTGAGCTTTGGTCTGAAATTTCATTAATGATTATTATACGTTTATTTTTCACATCGCAAATATGAATGTATTTATATAATCAAGGATCATGATGTTACATGAAATACAGAAGATTTTTCTTCATTTTTGAGCTCATAGTATCCATTTATAAAAGGCATCGAATTTTATAGATAAATCCATTTACTCCATGAATAAACATGAAGTACTGTTCTGTCAGGGAAAAACGCTGGATCTATTAAAATATTAAATGGAAGGTACCGTTTTTAGCAGCACCTGCCAAATATTCGGTTGAATATGGTTGTTCAATTTTTACTTAGGAACGGGCGATTTATAAAAGATGATTGCATTTATATTCATATGCCAGGTAAATATCAGTCATTTGAGAACAGGCGTAATTTTGATATAAATAAACCAAATTGAAATAATGGAAAAACCCAGAAGGGTTGAGTTATTTTCTGAAATTCAGGCATTTAGTTCCCATACAATTTACACGGTAATGTGTCATTTGCGGAATGCAGCTGCAACGCTGAGACAGGAACGGTCATTACGCGGCATGTCTGTTAACTCGACCACGTAAGAGAGCAGGAAGAATTTTGTAATTTCTGGCTCCGGGTTCACTCTCCGTCATATTCTCAAAAACATGCCAACCAGACATCTGACTCCGAATCTACGTTGAAATAATTTTATCATCGTTGAATCTAAGTTTAACGTTGTTTCAACATCATTCGCTTGGTGGTCTATATCTGTCCTATGCCAGAGTTTCTGGCAGAATTTAGTTTTAACCTTCTGTTTTACGTGCTTAACTTTTGATATGATTGTTCTCACCTAAAATTAGGATTCAGATATATAACAAAAAATCCTTGCACAATTTAACTCCTAATAAATATGTGAACAAATGATTACATTGTTAATTTTTGTTTTCCGCACAACTAACCAAATGCCTTCGTTACTTTTCAGAATTAGGAATTTTCTATCGCTATAGATTATTTTTATAATCGTTAAATAGACTAGTAGAGACAGAAAAGCTATTTCTCGTTAGGCCCACGTACGACGAGGCGACATGGAGCTCATCTTCAGTCTGCTCTTCCTTCTTTCAGCGTTCGGTGAGTAGCGTTCCTTTTTGAGATTACATTTATCTTACTTTTATAAACCATATAATGACAAAAACCTTTTCGTACTATAAAATTTTTCTAGTTTTGACTAATACACTTACGAACTAAAAATCTCATTAACACTTGTAATAAGCCCAAGTTGAAAAAATGACCAGTACGAGATGACACGTTATTTGTATAAAAGTGAATTCAAATTATATTACTAGATTAAAGCAGCGCACATCTGCCCCAATGTTTGTAAGGATTTGAGGGCTGTAACCTTAATTATGCCTGGATTAAGGAATCTCTTTCCATGCTGATGTTAGTCCAGAACTTGTCGATCACTGCACGTTCTTTAATCAATTTTTATCGGCCAAATCAGAGTGCAGGTTCCAAAGAGCTCTTTGCTCTAGATTCCTCACCGACCGACAAGGCTGTGCCAAGGCAATCTGGCGTACCGTTAGCAATCGCCGCTCTGGCATGTTGGGAAGTCTTCCATTGAGCCGCCACTTCTGGTTTAACCAGCCACTAAAAAGTTCATATGACATGCCGAAGCTTAAATTTAATTAATCCAGACACAAGAGGACTTAGATTAACAATGTTAATATCGGTAGGCATGGAAGATTGATTTTTACGCAAGTTGAGAAGCAAATTCTCATACATGTGCGTCAATTGGAAAGCTGTGACTTACATTATCACAAATAAATTAATTTTTTCAGTAGGAATTAGTTCAATTTTATGAAAATTGATAACTGGGCAAATTTTTTAAAATTACATACTCGAAAAACATGTGAAGCTTGATCACCCAAAAATAATCAACAGCTGCACGAGTGCGATATCCACGTCATTTGAAAGAGCTGGCGTTATATATGAGGTATATTTATGTAGCCATTTTAAAAGATCTTTGATAGAAAAAAGATCATACAAATATGAAGTAGAAATTAGATCCATAGGCATTAAATGTCTCTATTAGTACACAAGAGAAACCGCGAAGAAGATTTCCTTTTTTTATAAAGCTCATTCAAATTTTGATAAATTTTCAAGAGCTTCTCTGCCCATTGGAAGTAGTTGTTTTTCTTAAGTTAAGTAGGATTTTTCAACTGTCCGGCCCCGAACATCCCGTCTGTTCAAATGAGGATGCCTTGACACTTGCCATTGCCTCGCAAGCATTCCTTATTAATAAAACTATTGAAGAATTACAGAAGAAAATAGGCCCTCAATACATAAGGACTTTCCGGTTTGTTGTTGTAATTTGTTGAATGGCTTTAAATTTCATCTTAATATCTCTGACACATAATAAGATCAATTTAAATTATAGAAAATTGACATAATAATTATAAGTACTAGAATGTTGTTTATGAACGTGACAGATATTTTGCTCTAAATAAAGCATTCATTTAATATCGCAGACCAATAAATAGATGAAATTATCCGTAAAAAAGCGTATTGTTTACTCAACAAAACGTTTATAATTCCACAAATACAATAGCAACTCAAGATCGGAAGTTTTCTTTAATACTCAGCAGACCAACTGCTTCAAGTACGCCCCATGCACTACTTTCCGCTGGTGATCATGTCTCATCCTTCCGATACGTCTGTCATTTGATTTTTCCTTGCTCCTGAGAAGAAGAAAGTCGAGTTTAATTGGTACAATTTCTCGATGTCTCGCGGCGCGGTGCATTTTTCTCACGTTCGAGGAAGTCTATTGTACCGCTCGGCGAGCACTTGACTCTGCAACGAGGCGTGCACGCTGGACGCTATCTCGTCACAGAGTCGCAGCAAGCGGCCAGACGCTTAACTAAAATTGCTAAATCGTACATCCTAATCTTGAGTCTCATAAACCGGATGCAGGAATGGAGTTTCAAACTTGCGAGGTTGCAATTAGGTAAATAAAAAAACAATAAAAAAAGCTTCCGCAACCGTAAAAAGCTTCCAATGACCTGATGCCATTGGAAGCATGGGCTCAGAACAGCCTAGAGTATTTTACTGTATAGATGTATAATAAAAGAGTTTATTTCAGGTTAACTCGTTGGAAAACGTAACGTAAACATTAAATTGACGCCGAATTCAAGTTTTGCAATCGATGGGACTCAAAATTTCCTGTATTTTGCTATCGTGACTGAACTTTCTATCAAGAAAAGGTTGACTTAATTTTTTTTATTCTTCTGAGCAGGTTCAAGTTGAAAAATTGACCGAAATCTACGCTACTATTCTTTGACTTATGGACGTTAAAAAATTCTCATCACACAATCTTACTCACAGAATTCTTCTCCCCACACGATGCAGTTCTTCAAAAAAAAAGATGCAATTTAAACTACGTATATCACGATGTGCTATTCAAGAAGTTTCAGTTTATGAAACTTGCAACGTCATTCAATTAATTTACTTACAAATTCTATTTCGAATGTCAAGATGGTTTAAACATATCAAGTTCAATGTTAAAGCAACGCCTCTAGATAACTTGAATTTTAAGTTGCATTTTGATGCTGCCCCAAATTTCAGGGGAAGAGCAATGATGTTAGGCATATAAGGATGTTAGGGTTTTAATATAATGATGTTAGGGTTTAATGCCTTAACGACTGAAGTTCACTCTAACACCAAGACGATTTCAACGGTACTATATTATGAACGTTGATAGAAAATTGGGCCAGCAATGACATTTAATTCTAATTTATTTGCTGAAACCGCTCTTTGTCTATCATTTTGTAATTAAATTCCATCAGCATTCAGCATCAAGTTAGCCTCGAACGTCTAGTTGTAAAAATCGAGTTTACCTTAAGAGTCCAGTGGTCAAGAATCGAGTTTACCTCAAAAGTGCAGTGGTCAAGAATCGAGTTTACCTCAAGAGTCCTATGATCATAAATCGAGTCTACCTCAAAATTCCAGTGGTGTACAATCGAGTTTATCTCACGAGTCTAGTGGTCAAGAATCGAGTTAACCTCAAGAGTCCAGCGGCCAAGAATCGAGGTATAGCCTCAGGAGTCCAGTGTTCAACAATTGAGTCTTCAAGAGTCCAATGGTCAAGAATTGAGTTTTAAAGAGTCCAGTGGTTAAGAGTTAAGAGATGAAGTTAACCTGAAACGTCTAGTAGTCCTGAATCGAGCAAGTCTCAAACGTTTGTTATTTTACACCAGTTCCGTCGCTTTTGAACATTCATTATAATTTAGCCGTTTTATGTCCCAAAAATTAATTTTGTCGAATTTCAATTGATTTATTTATTTTTTGCCGTAAGAACTTTTTGTCTGTGCTACTACAAAATTGCTACTACAATTGATGCTTCCTCAATGGGTAATTTAATTCCTGAGAATTTGGAGCGAGACTTCCTTCATTCTCGGCTAAGTGCCGGAAGCGCAGCTTTAGGGTAATGTAATTTTTGAGCCTTAATTCTAAATGAAATTTTGTGCCAGATGTCATGAGCCTGCGAGTGAGCGACCCACTTTCTTATTACTTCCATGCTTGGCGCATCTGCTGTCATGAGCCATAAAATAACATCGTGGTTTTTTAATAACATTTACATGACGAAAATTTACAATCCATAAACTCATATCGCTATCAGTAATCATCAACTAAATGGAAAATTAATTGGAAAATGTTTATCGTATTTTGTAGGAAAAGACAGTCAGACTGAATTTCTAATTATTTTCATTGCGGAACATCCTTTCTGGTGATTTTGAACAGTAATTACCGGATACTGACTATTTAAAGGGAGTCGCAAGCCTATTTGCAGGCGCACGCCGAAAGTTCAAGGCTCGTAATCGTGCGGATCCCCTGTAGCTTTCTTCATCACACTTCTTAAATTCTTGCAACCTATATTTAAACAAATAAATCAGTAATTGTTCGAACTGCATGAGCCGAAGTCTGGATATGACGCCTTCCGAGCCCAAAACATATGAGAGAAATTCTGCCGAATCAATTTCTCGATACGATTAGTTTCAGAACTTTTGTTATAGCGGCTACACGAAGGAACTCTGAGGAGCAGACATGATACAAGTAACAAAGGAACAAAGAGAAAGGGAGGGTCGAAGGGGGCGTTGTGGAAAGTCAACATGAAAGGGTAGAAAAGTTTTGCCGCAGTTTCTAGCTAGAATAGAAGCGCCTTTTAACGAGTCCTCGCCATTTCCCAAAAGTGGTTTGAAGTGCTAAGCGACTTGAAAGGAAATGACATTCGGGAAGGAGTGGGCGAAGCGGTTCTGTTTTAGAAAGACGGGTTCAAGAATCAGAGTCAGGATCAAAGAGAAGTCAACGTTCGTTTCGCCACGCTGTTTTCTAAGAATGAATTAGCTATGCAGCGGAGGACTTAACGAGGATAACTGTTATGGCTTTGCAAAGGCCATTGTGAGCACTATTTGGCTCTGGCTAAGGTGGGGCAACCACTTCGCTTAAAATCAAGTTCAGGGTCAGCGGCCTTGAGCTCAGCGCCCGGTCAGTTGAATGTCCTTACGGTTGACCATGTAATGCAAATGCGAATGTTTTTTCATGGACTATTTTATAAACTCTATTATGGCTTTTGAATCAGTCTTAGAGAAATTAATCAAGAGATTATTCATTATTCATATTCATTTATCTCAATCAATAGATTATACTGTAATCAGAGATTATTCATGGACTAAATGTGCGAATCAATCATTAGAAATCAATTATTAAAAATTCAAATCGATTCATACAATTGGTAACTCAAGCATCTCACTAGAAGGATATTGGTAAAGATTTTGCCAATATGCGTTTTTTATGGTCAGTTATTTTGCGCGTTTCCACTCCAAGAAATACCGTTGCAATATTTAAATAAGAAAATTTGCATGCTGTAATGGTTGACCTCAAATGCAAGCGATGCAGCCGTGCCTCCAGGCGGAGATGCAACATCATCCTGGCAAATTTCCTCGAGTTTAATGGACTCATCGTTTTCTTTGTCCCGGTCCAGTGCAATGAGCACCAGAAAGCCATCAACACGGAGGTTCTCATGAAGGCTTCAGGCAAGAGAGTTTATTGACAGCGCTCTGCAAGTTCCGCTAATA